CTCTCCTGATCCTTTCTCAGCATATTCATGACAAAGAATAGTAAACCAGTTACCAACTCTGCCCAACAGATATTAAATTTCCTATGGGATAAAGCCTTCCCTGGGAGACTGGTCAGGGAGGGAAAGGAATCGAGCCTGTGATTGCCACTGACTTGTTTAGTGAGCTCTTGCACCCTCTTCTTTCTGTGATTAGATTGTGAAATAAAGCTGAAATTGGGATTTTTTTTTCTGTTTTAACACGTTAGGTATGTGATCCAGGACACTGGGTCTCCCTTGTTAGAGAAACCTCTTCAGACTTCCCCTTGAAGAAGATTAGACGCCTTTGGAGGTATTCAGGATCTAGAGATAATCAGAGGCAGGCAATGATATTAGGCAGAGAGGTCATCAGATCTTCAAAGAGACCAGCTTCTCTCTACCTTACGCACACTAGAGGGGTTCTCCTCCCCCTAGGGCTAATTTAGGCAGACATACACCAAAAGTTTAGAAGAAGTCAGGCAGACTGAATCAGGGTGCAATCACAGCTCAAATTCAGAACATGATTCCTGTGCAGAAGTTAAGTTTTCAATACTCCAAATTTGACTCTGGGTGCAGAGAGATTCAGAGGTTAAACTATGCCTGTTTACTCACATTTGCAAGTCATTAAGATCAGCTTAGAGGCCTGACTGCACAGCAAGCTGATTTCTGTTGCTCTCCTTCTGAGGGACCTACCTGTCCCCACAAGCTAAGCTGGGAGCCTGAGCTTCTCCTTCACAGCCATGCATACAACTAGCTGGCAAGGCAGGCAAAAGATGATGTCCTGCATGTTGCAGTTTCTAAGTCCCCTTTCCAAATATACCCATCAGTGGTTTTTTTTAGTTCTGAAATAAACTTCCCTAATGTTTTGTTGTATTTGCTTCTAGTTTTAACAGTGCTTCTAGGTTTAACGGTGCTTTCCATAGTTTCATCATTGGCCTTACAGGCTCTTTGAAGTTCCATTTCTGGAGGGCAATAATAAAGAGTAATCCAATGAAGCTTTGTCCCAGGTCCTACTCTCAGGCAGGGAACATTATCTTGAGCTAGGTAGCTGCTCAAAGCCTGTAATAAAGACCTCAAAGGAGCCAAGGTGCATAACTGTGACAGGCAAGACAGTACTGCTTAATATTGCTCACACAATGAGACTCTCTAAGAAGGGATATTGTATGTTAAAGTACACTAATCTGTGAATTATGGAGTGAATCACCAAAGTACATGTTTCACATTTCAGTCACTTGTCGCACACTTTGTTTGTGTAACCCACCGGTCAGAAAATGTGTTATACAACACATCTGTGTCCAATACACAGAGGATATGTGTTTATGATAGCTTTCAACTGGAAATTCTCTCTTTTTGCACCAGCTGCTAAGATTCATACATTTACCCTGGAAGTCATTGCTTCAAGCCCCACGGTGGAAGCTGTTGGGCTTGCAAGTGTCCCTGCAGAAACACACCTAAGGCCTCTTAATAGAAAGACTTAGGGTACAGTGAAGGTCTGGGGAAGAGAAAAGGGAGACTAACATGTAGAAGTGCTGGTATGATACAAGCATGCAACCCACTGCTGTGCCTGCTCTTTCAGGCTGATTTTAAGGTTTCCATCAGAAATTACTGTCTCAGGGATGAAACGGTAGAAGAAAGTGTCCTTCATGGAGTTTTCCCCAGCTGTCAGGTTATGTCATAACTACTAGAGCATTCTTCTTGATGTACTTATTTTCAGTAACTTTTACATAGGGATAAAAGCTATAGTCAAATAATGTGTTGAGGTACATCACAGCTGTTAAAACTCCCAAGGAAGATCAACAGGCTCAGAAACAGCTTTAGTAGCATATAAACAGTCACTTTCTAAACCAAGTGAATTATCTCATGAAACACTTGCCCTTGTGCAAAAATGGGAAAAATATCAACTAAATTGTATTGGTGACAATTAAAATGGCATCTGAAAACAGACAGAAAAGTTTGCCAGTTCAAAGCTGGGGAGAACCTTCTCCTGGGGGGTGTCACCTATATTACTATCAAGAACCTGCTCCAGTCCTTCACAGCGCTCTCACTGTGAGAAAAAACAAGAAACAATATACTGCCAGCATTAAAAGGGTGTGTCTTCTAAAGGCATTGGATATACATACATATTAATTTCTTGAATGCTTGTACAAACACTTGTGATGCCATCATAATTCTGCAGTTGCAGTGCAAGTCTTGTAACACTGGGGTACATGTTGCTTATTATTTTGTTTGTTGACAGTGTTTATGAATACATGGAGGGGTATGGGATACCACAGCAACATAAAGGTAACACGAAAAACACATCTTTGTCTAAGCACATCCTAGTATTGTCAGGCAGCCTCATCTGAGTAAATTCAAACTACCTCCACTGGAAGCTGGAGTGAGCTCAGTCATTTTAGTCATCTATCATACATGCAAGAGCATAAAAGATGATGTCTTCTGCTGGGTAAGCAGTGAGAGCAGTAACGTCCAGATGACAGACAGTGATAGTTGCTCTGTCTTTTAAACCATCGACTATTCTGGCTAAACAGAAAAAGGAGAAAGTCTAGTCACAGCTCTACATCGGTAACATCCTTGGTGTGGCGGCTTTCATCCTAGTACAGCCACTTAAACCATTACTTCCCAGAAACAGTGTATAAACATGTTTATGTGTCTATAATGGTATCTGCATCAGGATGGATTTGCCATTTTAACAGTCAGCCAGTTGTAGACAGGGTCTTGACACAGTGTATATAATACAGCAGCTCTGACTGACCTCCAAATCTGACATGTCTTCAAATCAGTGCTCTTAACATGCAATGAGCAGGTGTCTCTGCCTTTAAGATATTGTCCTTTAAAGTTATCTTCACAACACTTCTGATGTCTACTGCTACATACTGCTATTTCAGCAGCTGGCTCAACTGCATCTGTCTGCTCTTGCATGTGTATGGGCAAACATAATGTGTTTTCTGATTCCTGTGCAGAATCACGGCAGTTCATCTCCAGTGTGGCCCCATTCAAAAAGTCCTTAAATAATCCATACTCCATAACAGTGCTAAAAACAGATGTTGGAAAACATCCTTCAGCAGCACTACTAACTAATTTGGAGCTTAATATTACAGTCCAGCCTGTCCAAGCACAGAGTCTGAAATAGCACCTAATAAATAACTTCTCTGCAAGTTTGAGCAGCTATGAAGCTGTTTTGCTTTTACAGCCACTAAAAGAATAAGGGGCTCTAAAAGAAAAGCTAAAAATTGACATAATGTGTAAAACAAGGCCTCTTCCTTCATCACATGTCCAATATTTGTCAGGTTTTTAAAGGAGATAATGAGTTTCAAGCCTTTCAACAATCTGAGCCTGCAAAACATTCATTGTCAATATGAGATCTTTAAAAAGCCCCCAGTCTTATTGTCACTTCCTGACAGGCGCTAAATTGTGCCGAGATTCATGAGAAGTTGCACTGCAGCTATTTCGTAGGATATGTTGCGGTCAACAGCTCAATGTCCAAGTGGAGACCAGTGACAAGTGGCGTTCCTCAGGGGTTGGTATTGGGACCGGTGCTGTTTGACATCTTTGTCAGCGACATGGACAGTGGGATTGAGCGCACCTTCAGCCAGTTTACCGACGACACTAAGCTGTGTGGTGCGGTTGACACCCTGGAGGGAAGGGATGCCATCCAGAGGGACCTTGACAGACTTGAGAGGTGGGCCTGTGTGAACCTCATGAAGTTCAACAAGGCCAAGTCCAAGGTCCTGCACCTGGGTCACGGCAATCCCAAGCACAAATACAGGCTGGGCTGAGAATGGATTGAGAGCAGCCCTGAGGAGAAGGACTTGGGGGTGTTGGTTGATGATGGTCATGCTCAA